TCCAATCCGATTCAAGGAGGGATCATCTGATTTGTGTAAAATCAAAATAAAGTTTATCTGTTATGTTACACATTTTCAAACACTGGTTTGTTTATGTGTTTTTTTTTTTACTAACCCACTAACTAAAAACTGCATCATACGTTGGGTAGTTTTTGAACGAAAGGTTAACGCTCGTAATGCTCGAGTATTACCCTATAAGATAAAAATCCTCAGCCCGTCAAGGACGTTGTAAGGCTGCCGATCGCCCGGAACCACTCTAACCGTTCTCATGACCAGCATCTGTATGTGAATTCGAGGGAACTTGGTCCCTTGGTGAGGTCGGTGTAAGACTGTTCTCGTGTTGGCATGAAAATGTGATTTCTCGAGGGTTTGATGATTAGAGAAAGGGTCTCTCACATGAGGTAGATTGATCGGTTTATCAGTCATGACTCAGTGAGTAATTCCTTCTATAAGTCCCTTTACGTATTTCATAGTTAGGTTACGGGCTGGGATCTCTTACGTCATTTTCGGTGTTGTGCTCGGTCGTTATATTCTTTTGGGAGTTCCGGTCTGACCAGGTGAATCCCTAATAGAAATTGATTTTTTTTTTTATTCCATTGATGCTCCTGTCTGTGGTCTGAGTTAAGGGGAGGGATTTTGATTATGTTAGTGGATTTAGCTGTATTATATTTAAAATCAAAAAAAATTTATACCTAAACTTTAACCCTAACACTAACTCGCAAAGAAAATAAATTTAACAAAATTTTCAGATTCCATTTTATTGTAAAATTTAGATACTGCTTACATTACAAGAAAGTGTAATTTGAAGTGTGGCTTTAATACATATAGTTAAAAACACAATTAACAATTGCTTGAATTAAATATTGAAGTACGAAATAAAATTAGATGTTAAATTGCATTTTACAGTATTTATAAGACATTTCTTCATCTTTATCTCTATAATAACTTGTTAACCATTTACAAGCATCACGTTGATACTCTTCGCTTTTTGAGAGTTCTAAATAGAGTTGTAATGCTTTATCCTTATTTTTAGTAACACCTTTACCATTTGCATAACAACGTGCCAACTCAAGCTTAGCAGCTTCTTGATCTGTTTCACTTTTTGCGAGTTCTGAATAAAGAGCAAATGCTTTTTTTCATCTTTATTTACACCTAACCAGTCTGCATATAATTTTGCCAACCAAAATTTAGCATCATTTTGGTGACGCAACTTTCTTAATGAAAGATCATAATAAATATCAAAAGCCATTTTATAATCTTTTTTAGCACCGTAACCATTAAAA